AACAATTTCAACTTCTAATGACTATTTAAGTAGCTTTTTAATATAGCACTTTGCTCTTATATCAATGTGTCATATTTGAAACTTGAAATTCCTAACTTTACTTGTACTTTTAACTCAGTGATGTGTATTGGATTTTGGAGATGTAAGACAACCACTTGAAATAATTATGTGATTTACTATATATCATATAGTGAATCGGTTAAATCGTTGATGGGATTGAGTGCAAGTGCGAGATCGAGTGAGAATGCACGTAAAATGAAGAAAGGTTGTATTGACTGTATAAGATTTATCCAACAAAATCAAGAGAAATTTTATTTTATAACATTTTACGCACAATCTTAGGAATCTTAGGAAGTTTTAGGATGGAATCTTTTAAACTTCGGTTCTGATCGTATCACTAATTATTATAATCCAAATTATATTCTCACGAAAATATTTTTTTATATAGATATCTAGTTTGTCAATACAAGATACTGAAATGTTCATATTTGCGAAATTAAGAGTGAGTTGAGTGTGTTTAGGATTCATATTTATAGTTAATTATAAACTAATCCAGATTTAATCCTACTCATCTGCGGATGATGGATTTATCTGAATAGTGGGAATAAGGATCGAAACACTTTTTAAATCTAAGTTTCTGTAAAGAAATTGCAGCTTATTTTGATCCGAACAAGTTTTTTGTTGATTTCGTAGCAATTGGATCATTAAAGAATATATTTTTTTTTTAGTAGTGTTTTTTATTAATTATTTTCTTTTTTTTAAAAAAAAAAAATATTCAGTTCGTATCGTATATTTCTTTTTTTATTATTAATAATTTGCTCTTATAGTAAAAATGTCACTCAGAGTTGTTATATCATGATTTATTATTTTTTAGTTATTTTTTTTTTTCTTCGGTTCGACAACTATGTTTTTGTTTTTTAACTTAGATTGTAATAATTTTTTTGAGGGTACTTTTTCAGGTTTGTGATAAATACTTTTAATTAATTTAATAATTTTTTTGAAATACCAATCTCGTATTTTATTTTTTTTATTATTAGTTTCATTTTTTAAATACATTTAAAAAAAAGCGAAAGAATAACAACCCGCAGCTTACAAAGAAATAATTTAAAGAATATGGAAAATGAAGTTGATATAACAAAAAAATGAACGAGTTGATGCAAGAAATACGGTACGATCATAATTTGAGGATCGTACCGAACTGAGCAGGCCATACTCAAGAAATACTAATCATTTATAGCAATAATAATGAACCGAAAGAGGAATTTTGTTAATTGAAAAGAGAACTCAAGTATTGGGTTTATAGACTTAATTTCAACTATATTCAGGTTAAATTTTATGTTTTTTATTGAATTTTATCAGATGAACGAAAGCTTTAATTATTAATTTTATTTATTTATCATATAGAGAAAATCATAATAAACTCTATGCTTATGGGGAAAGAAAAAAACTTATTTTTTTTTGTGGTGATTTCCAATTTACGTAGTAAAGTTAAACGTTTAATTGTAATATTCACGAGATTTTTAATTTTTCTTGTCGCGTTCGAATAATCTGTAAATTCCATACATACAGCTTAATAGGTATTAAGTAATATTCAAATTTTATCATTTATTTCGTACAGTACAGTTTATATAAATATCTGTTTTACTCTCGGTATTGATATTAAAGTACAATTTGGTAGAAGAGCGAGTAACAGGTAATCATTGTAATGATAATCTAAGGCCATTTATCTTTTACTATTGTTAGACTATGCTTGCGTAAATAGTCTCCGAACCCAGATCTAACTATTAGTCATTGCGAAAAAATTTAGAGGTCGTGAATATGTCTTCCTATTGCGGTTTGTCGCCAGATTATGAAACACAAATTTGTATTTTAAAATCTTACCTTGATGTTCAAAAATCTAGGTTAATCTCTTATTTTACCCAGATTATTTATATTTTATTGCAATTATGAACTTGTAATATTGATTTTTGCCAATTCCTCTCGGATGAACTTCCGGGCCATGAATTAATAATCTATAAATAAATATCTTTATTGTGTCTAAATCCAATTATCTTTTTTTCAATTTATACATTATATTTAAAATGAATAAAAATTATATTAAGCACTTTTGCTAAATACCGCCTTGTGAAAACGCATGGATGTGATATAAAATTTGTTTTTTTTCCATGCGATAATACTTATGCAAAGGGGGAGCCGTTCTATCGGTTCGGTTCGGTTCGACTCGCAAAACCGGAACCGCCGTTAGAGTCTACTTCTGTTACTTCATTATCGTTTAAAAGAAATAAGCTTAAGATCACGCATCTTTTAATTCTTTACTAAAAACACTTCATCACATCATTGATGTTGCAATAAACTTTTACAGAAACATTAAAAATTTATACGACATTAATATGCAGTAACTACATCTTCACCATATTATATATTACTTTGTTATTACTTAATATGTGCTATTGATACCAACATCTAAAAGTAATACATATTGCTCTATTCTTTTTGTGATCCATTGTTTGACATTCACTACATTTTTTGGTTGACCTTTTTCTTCCTTCTTCACTGTGAAAGGTTGTTTTTGGAAATTTTTAAATGTATCTTTTGGAACAACAAAATAGTGTCGGATGGTATGATCTGCTGACTCACCACTAGCTTTTCATGTAGTAATTCATGTCCATGTTGTTTAATATCATGCGTTCTTCCTACCGTCATCTGAAATGTATAGTCATAGTCTTTTCCAATATAGATGGAATCAATAGTTTCGAAATTCTTTGCTACCGGTTTACAGTATTTGCCATCTTCAATATCATCTACTGTGTAACAATTTTTTATTGTAAGCTGAGGAAGTCGTAATTTTTGTTCTTTCGCACAGGATTTTTTACGTCCTTCTAGTGAGCGTATCAAAAATGGTTTGCCAGCGCTTAGTTCATTATGTGCGATAATTTCAAACATATGTCCACGTACAGAATCTAATAATGACACAGAAGCTGATGCAAAGACAAACTTGTACGTTTCTTCTTTGTAGAATTCTTTTAGTCTTGCAAAAACTTTATCACCAACAATTGCTGAAGCAAACTTTAATTCACAAGAAGTATAGGGGGAATTGACAAAGATGTGCCCATTGATGATTTCATTTACCGGCTCCTCATTAGTATGAATATGTACTAAATTATGACTATAATTATCAACATCACTAAGTGTGCCAATGTATCTGAATATGTCAGTGCCAATATTATTAACAGAAGCCGTAATCATCTTGTTTATCTCGGATAATTTGCATTTGAAAATCATTCTTGGAATACCGCCACATAATTGGTAAGATTCATGAAGATTGTCCTTTGAAAATTCTGGATAGATTAATGATCGACATTCTTCTAATTCGGCCTCTGACCAAATTTGCATGTATACTTTGATTGTTATATTAACTGGTTTGCAAAAATTTTTTATGTTCAAATCCTTTGGTGATGATACCATAATAAGTTTTCCGGTATCAAAATCGTGATTTACCCTGGGTGATTTGCCATCGATTATACACCACACCACACATTGTCTCTTCCTGCAACTCTGCAAAAGTCTTCATTTCGTACCCACTCTACATCAAAAGTATTCATCTCATCACGAGTAATGAGATATAGGTGCGAGTAACTGGCATCGTCTACCAACAGTTCGAAACCTTCTTTTAACAAAACACTAATAATATAACGTCCGAAAAACGTCTTCCCTGTTCCTGGATTCCCGGTGATGCAGAAACGCTTATGTTTCTTGCTCTCGAGAATGATTTTATTGAAATAGTCATAACAACGGTGCTTATATATATGTGTTTCGCTTTCTGTTCCTGGAAGTGGCGAAAGGATAATAACTTCCTTGTTCAAGTCTAAATCAAAGGCGGTTCTCGCAAATAATGCAATTTTTCTGGAGTCATGTTCTTGATGTTCATCTAAATTGGGTTAGGAGACCAAAAAGACCAAAAAAGGCATAGTTAGTCATCACAATTCACACAATAATTTTATTTAAGCACATACCAGCAGACAGAGTCTTCAAAAATTCTTTTAATAACTCAAGTTTATCTTCGTCTGTTTTTAAGGGACTCATAAGTGCAGAATGCAATATATCTCTCTCCTGGTTATGTTTAATAAGATAAATTTGAAGTTTATTCGTTTCTTTTTTTGGAAGAGAAAGGCTATCGATAACTTCGAAAATAGTTGACATAGTTATTGTAGACTCATTAGTTTGTAAAATTGAAAATAATTTTTGAAAGCGGTTTATATATTAATTGAAAAAATATTATATACCGAGAATAAATTTAAGTGAAATTTCGTTTAATACATCCCTTATACCCGAATAAATGAAAAAATACTTGCGTGGCTATGTTTAAAGTAAAGAATTAGACGTATTCCATAGCAAAGAAGTTTCAATTAACATGTTGTCGATCATTGTTATTACTATTATTTAATTTGATAAACTTCAGGAGCTAATTATTTTTGTTATGTAAGAATCCTTTGTGGAAAAGTAGACTTACTTGCCTATTGCAATGACAATTAAATTACATGAGCGCAGGAAATCACCATCGTCAATAATATTTTTACTTATTGATCATATTTTGGAAATGAATACAATAAATTCCCGATAACTCACAGTTCATTCTATACCAAATGTATGAATAGTGATTTAATTTACAAATTATTTATAAATACATAGATTGCGTAGAATGCGTGATGTATGTACAGATTAAATATTACACAATAATATCCCAAACTGAATTTCAGTTGAAAAAAAGAAGAACAAAAAATAAAGAAGAAGGTTTAAGAGTAGATGCTATTGTTTTCAGTGCCACAATTGATCTAACCTTTTTCTGATCAAAATTACAGAATATAAAGTTATTATTTTCCTATCACCAATAAAGTTACCACTACAAAAATTACCGTCAAAGATGCCACCAAAGCTGCCACTAGCGTTGCTGCTAAAGTATCTCTATCAATGTTGCCACTACCAGAGATGCTGCCAAAGCTGCCGCCATCAAATCTGCTGCTGCCCTATTCAACTTCATCCATGATGTTAATAATTCCTGAGAAATTCTGTATACTAAGGAAAATCATGAATTAGTTTGAAAGTCCAGAAGTTGCTTCATTGCAAAAAGATCAATCAACAAAGAAAATATTCATATCTTATTTGTGTAAGTATCTTGTCCGATATTTTGCCAGCATTCTATGCCAAAATAATTGTTCCAAATATACGCATTAATCCATCATCTACATCTTCATTACAATGACTCTGGACAAAAGATACAGATCAAACGTCCTTTACATAGTCAACTCCACAAATGTTATAATGTTGTTAATAAAATTAAATAATCAACATTTCAAAGAGGCAAAGACTGTCATGCAAAAGATAAGATAAATATAAATTACAAAGCCCTTGTCAAGAGTAATTATTTTGATTGAAACAGATAAAAAACCTAACAGAAAAAGGAATAAAAAAAATATTGATAAAAATTTTATGAATAAGGAAAATACACAAGGGTATTATTTTAGTCATAATTGATTAGTGCGCTTATGACGAATTTAAAAATGAGAGCTTTGTATTTCTTACATAAACATACCTTTTATTTGGAAAATATATTTCATGAAAAGCATCATAATCAAAGCATCATCAAAGCGTTATAAATTATTTATGGAAATATTCATTCAGAAGTTAACGTATCATCATATAATTCGCACGACTCATCATGCGTCGTCTGTTTTCTCTCAAAAGTTCATAAATTTTTATGGCGTTGGAATGCTATTCCAAAACGGTTGGTAGATAAGAAGTTCATTATCATGCTAAAGGAGCAATTGTTACACAGCTACTTCCTAATCTTGGTAAGATGTTTCCATATGACGAAGAAAAGGAACTCAGAATTTTAGGTTAACTGTGATAATTTCTGGTAATTTGTTATTTAATTGTATATACAGTAGGTAAAAGTAAATAAATAAATACAAAAGGAAATGGAAGTAAATATAACTTTGATGTCGATGTTTCCGGTCCTAGAGAAGTTGAAAAAAGTAAATTTTTTTTCAATAAAGGTTTTAAAAAGTTTATAATGACACAAAGTCACATGAATATTTCGATCTCTCGCCTAAACTAATCTGGCTATGTTTTTTTTGAAAAACCCATGATCTTTTAACTTGTATTCAAAATTCTTATTTACGAAATTCAAATTTTATTATCAATATAATAAAATATTTAAATACGACTTATAAAAAATAAACGTGATATTGCAAAATAACAGTACAAATTAATATTTAATTTATTACGCAACCAAATGTTGTCTTAGAGAAATAAAAATTAACGATTATTAAAATTCATCTAAGAAAATATCTTGCGTTAAAAAAATTTTAAGTGAAATTATAAACCCAACAACAAATTTACATTCAAATATTTGATTGTTACCAGAAATAAAAATTAAAGATTAAAAATAACTAAAATTAACCTGGTACTTACGACGATCTGATAGAACAACTCGAAAAGTAAAGAAAATTTCATTAGGCCGAGCAAATATATTTAATAAAATTTTATAAAAATTTTATTATAGTTACCTGTAACACACGTGATCACATTATTTATTATTCAACATAAGATCATTTTTTAAAATTTTCTATTGATCACATCGGCAGTATTGGGCTAGTTGTCGGGATGAAGCGACAGCGTGGGTATGGGGTGGGAAGCGCGTCAGCGGATCGACTCCTAGTCTAGTCGAAGTGAAGTCAAAAAAAAATTTTTTTTACGTAATATTTATGTCACGTGATTATTTATCGCAATACGTAACTGTGTACAATAAAATTTTATTGGACAAAATTTGTTGACTTTGTGTAACATTTGATTTATCTTAGAAAAAAGCTTCTCGCAAATTTTTTTCAAAGAAAAGTTTGTTTACAAGAGAAGTTAACTTATATTTCTGATATAAATTAATAAATAAAAGAATTTCGCAATAATTTTCAAAGAGAATATTTAAAAAGAAGAACAAGTATATTAAAAAAGAATACTCATTTAAGTGTTACCATGTTTTTCAAAGTAGTATTTTATGGTTTATTAAATTTTATTTATTTAATAAAAAAAGATTAATTTTTATTAAATAGTCTAAATTAATTTTCATTTTCTTTGTAATTGCATACTAAAAGTTCTGTAATATATATATTTTAATTTAAAGAAATATTTATGCTTTATTTCATGTTTTAATATTTCTTTTCTTTACCTTTAAGTGGTTTTAAAAAAAATATTTATACGTTTTAAAAAATAAAAATTAAAAGATATTTCCATAAGATTAGAAAAAAATATACAAATTTAAAAGAAAATATATATGAAAAATCTTTTTTAATGTAGATTTTTTGATTTTTATTAATTTGTTATTTTTTATTTGTATTTGCAAACTAACATATATGAAATAATTAAAAAAATAAAATTTTGATATATAAAGTAAAGATTAAGACATTATCTTATTAACTGATCAAATATTTTTTATAACTGGTTAAAATATTTAATTAGAATTATAGCTAAAATTTAATTATCAGACAGAATTAAAGTTTTTTGAGATTACTAAATATTACTAGTTTTTTTCAAATTTATCATGATGACTTGAATTAAATTTAACCAGTAAATTAAATGGTTAAGATTTATTAGGCTAGTTTCAATCTCTAATATAAAGAAAATAAATAATTTTAATAGTAACCTTACCAAGACTTCTTTTTATTTTTATACTTGATTTATAAAGTAATTCAAAATAATAGTTTAAATTAATCATTTTTTAATTAGTTTTTAAATATAACTTTAATATATATTCTATCAAAAAAATTAATAACAATAATTGGTAATACAATATTAACTGATGCAAATTTTGAAGTCAACTTAGTCAGTCATTAAACAATTTTTAGTTAATTCAACTATTAACTCTTATTTAATATTAATTACATAATTGTATTATTAATATTTTAATATTTAATAAAATTATTTATGATTTAATTAATTTTGAATACAAAAATTAGATAATTATACATAAGTTTAATTATAAATAAAGTTTTTCAGAATCTCTTTTAACTAAAAATTTGTAACTTTTATTTAATTATGAATTCCACAATATGCTAATATTTAAAAAATTAACTATATTACAGCTTAGTTATATGAAAATTCTAAAGTTAACTCTACTTGATTTTATAGTATCAACTTAACTTTCGACTCTCCTTTTCATATTAAAATATTCATCTAAAATTTTAAAATAGAACTATAATATAGTGTAATAGTATATTTATTTATTGTAGTTGTAAAAGTTGTGAAAATAAAGTTATTTATTAAAATAGAAATATAAATTACAAATTCATTATAGCTAAAGAAATTTTTATATTTTATTTCAAAATATATAAGAAGCAACTTCGTATATTATAACAAGCTTATTATATAAAATAACTATTTTTTATTTATCTTGATATATTAGTAATATTCTAAATCAATTAAATCAATTTGAATTATTAATTTGAATTAAGTTTTAAAACTAGGACCATAATTTTAAAATGTATGACCTAAATTAAATCAACAAGTCGGGTCATAATCATATTTTACACTTCTCAGGTAATCATATAATTTTAATTTATATTATAAGAAAATTAAAATTCTTTTTTTATTATATATTAGAATATATTAATTATAAATAATTAAATAATAAGCAAATCTATTGATTTTACTATCTAAAATTATAACTACTCAAAAAGAAAAAGCTTTGAGTAGTAAATTATTTATAAAAAAAGTTTGATTTTCAATTAATACTAAATCTCATTGAGAAGTAAAATGTCTTAACTATTTTCAAGTATTTTTATTGAGTTAACATTTAAATTATAATTTAAAAAAAAAAATAGTTAGAATATATATTGGCTTGAAATCCTAAGATTTTAAAGTTATATTTCTTTTATATATTAATATAATATTATTAATAAACTTATAATAAACAATATTAAACAATAAATAATTTCAAAAATTTTATAATAAATTTTATAAAAATCATCGGTAGAATAATTAGCTAATCTAAATATTTTTAACAGTTTATTAATACTCTCAGATTAGATTCAGATTTCTTAAAACCTATCTGACTTGACTTGACTTTTTCAAAGCATTATTTAATAGTATATAATTTTTATGATTATGAATGAAGTGTATAATAAGATTAAGTAGAATCATAATACATA